AAATAAATAAATAAAAAATACAAGTACACTGCCTTCTGGATGCTCAGGGCTCTGCTTGGCACTGAGTGCCAAGCCCTCCCCCAGGCCTGGCAGCTCCGGGACTCAATCTGCGTCTTTTCCTCCCTCTCCACGTCCTGCCAAGTGCCGTCTTCTGGGCTTGCTTCCACTGGAGGGAAGCCTGTGGCTTTCAGAGTCTCACACTGCAAACCAAATGTTTTCCATTTTGCATTTTCTGTGCTTCAAGAACACGCATGTGGAACACAGCACAGAGGAGAAGTGGCTAAGTCCCACCCAGTCAAATCAATGGCTTGTCCTTTTTGTAGTTAGTGTCTTACAGAGAGGCTTTCAGCGGTCACAGAGCAACTTCCCCTGAGCCTGAGGGACACAAACCTTCTCTAGGAAGCCATACCACGCGCCCTCTCCATGTTCCAGCAGGAGACAAGAGGGGCCTTGGGGCAACCACAAAAGCAATGAAAAGGCCTTTTGGTTATCTGCGCAGCTGGGTATGGTGTGTGGAGAGGCCATCAGGCCAGGCACTGGATCGACTGACTCCCCAGGGTCCAGCTCTGTCTGAGGACCTGACTCAGCAGGGCTGGGCCTAAGAGGACAGCCTCTGAAAACCATCACACATTGAATGCTGGTGGCATTCTTGAGAGGGTGGAAACCAGGAAGCAGCACTTAGCTGGAGAAGCAGGTCAGTGGGGGTGTACCCTGGAAAGGTCACGCTGGAGAAGCAGGTCAGTGGGGGTGTACCCTGGAAAGGTCACCTTGTCCCCGTCCCTCCCTTGCTTCCCGCTTCCTGGCCCCCACGAGGTAAGCATGCTCTAACCCTCTGCCATAATGTTCTGCCTTACCACAGGCCCACAGTGATGGAACCAGGCCACCATGGACTTGACCCTCTGAAACCACAAACCAAACAAAAAGCCCTTTTCTTCTTGAGGTGGCTTTCCTCGGGAACTCTGCCATAGCAACGGAAAAGGGCTGACACATGGGGCTTGAAGTGAGTCCTCGGTAAACCTGGTCCTCACGACCCTTGATGCTGCCCGAGGGACTTGAGGTGCTGTTCTGGGCGAGGCACTTTAGAGCTCAGAGGACAAAAACGGAGATCCCCTGGCTGTGAGCGAGCCTCAAGATGGATGCAGTCCGACTACCAGACTGTTCTCATTTTAACCTAGAACACGTGTTCTTATCACTTCAAGGCTAACGACTGAGGCAGATCCAGGCCCCGCCTGCCTCTGTGTGCCTGCCCTCCTCCTGTGTGTGCCTGCCATCCACCTGTGTGTCTGTCCTCCTCCTGTGTGTGTAGGCCATCCACCTGTGTGCCTGCCATCCTCCTGTGTGTCTGTCCTCCTCCTGTGTGTGTCTGTCCTCCTCCTGTGTGTCTGTCCTCCTCCTGTGTGCCTGCCATCCACTTATGTGTGTCTGTCCTCCTCCTGTGTGCCTGCCATCCACTTATGTGTGTCTGTCCTCCTCCTGTGTGCCTGCCATCCACTTATGTGTGTCTGTCCTCCTCCTGTGTGTGTAGGCCATCCACCTGTGTGCCTGCCATCCTCCTGTGTGTCTGTCCTCCTCCTGTGTGTGTCTGTCCTCCTCCTGTGTGCCTGCCATCCACTTATGTGTGTCTGTCCTCCTCCTGTGTGTGTCTGCCATCCACCTGTGTCTGCCCTCCACCTGTGTGTGTCTGCCCTCCTCCTGCGCGTGCCTGCCATCCACCTGCGTGTGTCTGCCATCCACCTGCGCGTGTCTGCCATCCACCTGCGTGTGTCTGCCATCCACCTGTGTGTCTGCCATCCACCTGCATGTGCCTGCCATCCACCTGTGTGTCTGCCATCCACCTGCGTGTACCTGCCATCCACCTGTGTGTCTGCCATCCACCTGCGTGTGTCTGTCCTCCTCCTGTCTGCCGTCCACCTGTGTGTGTCTGCCGTCCACCTGTGTGTCTGCCATCCACCTGCGTGTGTCTGTCCTCCTCCAGTCTGCCATCCACCTGTGTGTGTCTGCCATCTACCTGTGTGTCTGCCATCCACCTGTGTGTCTGCCATCTACCTGCGTGTGTCTGCCATCCACCTGCGTGTGCCTGCCATCCACCTGTGTGTCTGCCATCCACCTGTGTGTCTGCCATCCCCCTGCGTGTGCCTGCCATCCACCTGTGTGTCTGCCATCTACCGGCGTGTGTCTGCCATCCACCTGCGTGTGCCTACCACCCACCTGTGTGCCTGCCATCTACCTCTGTGTGTGCCTGCCATCTACCTGTGTGTCTGCCATCCACCTGTGTGTGCCTGCCATCCACCTGTGTGTCTGCCATCCACCTGCGTGTGCCTGCCACCCACCTGTGTGCCTGCCATCTACCTCTGTGTGTGCCTGCCATCTACCTCTGTGTGTGCCTGCCATCTACCTCTGTGTGTGCCTACCATCCATGGCCTGAGAGTTACGAGCAGCCTGGGCTGGATCATTCTATGATGGGGCAGCTGGCTATGGGTTCAGATCCAGGTTTTCTGAGAGTTCACAAACCAAACGTGTGTTGTGTGGTCTTGCATCTTCAGACCGAGGCTGGGTCACCCAAGTTTGCTAACCAACACAGTGCATCTTCCTGCAGTGCCCTCCGGCTGTGGTACTACTGACAAATGCTGCCCACACAAGGGACCAGAGAGCTCCTGCGCCCAACGCTGACTCAGCATGGTCTCACCTTCCTGAAAACATGTCCTATACCTTGGCTGGAAAAAAGTCACCCAGGGGAGCCATAGGTCCTGAGCCACAGGAGGTGGCTACCCTGCAGTCCCTTCCAGCAGGCCACTTTCCCATCCCTTGTCAGAGGCCTGGGGGCTCATCCCTACCCTGAGGCCGGAGGGCACTGCCACGGGGAGGCTGGGTGGCAGAAGGTGGGGGGTCAAGCTTTCTTCATGGGCTGTCCAGTCTGGACATGGCAGTAGCTGTGGGGACCCTGGTGTGCAGGCCCTCCCTGTACTCATCAGGAAACACCTCCACGGAGCAAGCGAGCTACATTCCATGTCAGCAGGGCCCTGGGGAGGGAGCTAAAAATAGACAGGACGTTGAAGATGGCTGGCAATGGGGGTGGGGAGGCCGGCGGGAGCAGGAGAGGCAATGCACACACACATATAGCTGTGTGTGGCACGTGTGCAAGGTCCAGGACTCTTGCTCACATCACTAGTCCCCAAGCAAGTCCTTCAGAGCCTATTTAAATCTGTCTCTAGGAAGCCTGCCCTGCCCTCCCTGCCAGACTATTCTTATCCACTGGTGGACCCCAGGACACCTCACTGAAGAATCAAAGAGTATCTTTAAAGAGCAAGAAATAACAGCTTGGAACCACAGGACGCCATCATGCACCGATCTCCAAACTTCGGAATAGCCACCATTTCCTTCCCCACCCTTGGCGGCCCTGAGTGTCCTCCAGTCCCCTCTCCTGGGGTCAGTGCCCCTCCTATACTCTGACCAGGATGCAGGTTTGAGCTGGCTCTATGGGCGTCACAGGTCCGTCCCTTGGCTGCACTCTCCATGTGGGACTGTACCCCTGGGGTTGAATTCCACAGGGACAGGGCACATGGGGCAACCTCCCAGAGACCTTCCTGGCTTCAGTGTTGGGCTCCCATGGTACTGGGAACCCAGAGAAGGGCTTGGGGGGCACCTGGGCATGACAGGGGACAGTCACGTGGCAGGCTGTGACCATGGTCCTGGCGGCATCACCCTTCTCCACTTCTGGAACCTGGTATGGCGGGCCTTGCAGACTGAACTTTATCAGGATCCAGACCACCCAGCTCTAAGGCTGGCCCTCATCTTACGCCCATCTGTATAGCCCTGAAGACTCCAAGCCCCTCAGCTGTACAGAATGGGAAGGGGCCTGCAAGTTCCAAGGCTAGACCTAGGTACTGGCCCTGCTTTTTACCAGCTGCCTTCTGCCTCTGGTTGTCCCTTCCCTTGCACAGCTCCTTGAGATGGCTTCTCCCTGCCTCCAGCCCCCAAGCCTCTGCCAGAGGCCTTCCCTGTGAAGGACACCCCATATGACATATACTACGGCTGTCATCAATCTACTGATGAGGAAAGTGAGGCATATAGGTAATAGGTGCCTAAGGACATGCGGTGATCAGTGGGGATCCCCCTCCCCAACTGTGCAAGCCCCCAGTAGCACAGCACTGAAGCTTGCTCTACAGCAGGTGACAGGCACACAGGCCGAAGTTACCTTGGGAGAACCCACACTGCAGGGTCCTCTAGGCCCTAGACTGGCTGGAGGACACAAGGCTCAAGGTACTCCCAAGACCCACTCCAGCACATGATGCAATGCCAGGGACCCTAGACACTGGGTCTGTGCAAGCAGCCAGCTGTTTGCCCACGCCCCCAGCCTGCAGCTTACAGAGAACACCTTCTCAAGACTTCAGTAAATCTGCACAACTGAGACCACATGTTAGCAGAGACCAGCCCAGGCCCTGCTCTGATCCCCAAGGACACTCACCACAAGCTGAGGCACAGGCAGTGGCTTGCCCTCCTGGCTCAGGGACACATAGGTGAAGAAGGCACTGGCAGCCCGGTAACGCTTCTGCGAGTTGTCCACCACAGGGTCGGCATCCACCAGGACCTCAATTTCCATGGACTTATTGCTTGTGAAGGTCATGCGTCCAGAGATGGTGATGACACAGCCTGCAGGGTACAGGAAGCCAAGGCGGTTAGTGGACACTGGCTGTGTTTCCACCCACAGGGCACCAGGTGGGCAAGATGGACGGAGAGAAACCCATGTTACTGATGATAGTTAGGACACTGGGTTAGGCAGCACAGGCGGCAGTTACTACGAGGATGTTAAAATGACAAACTATTAGCATGTGCCATTAGTGGTCCATGGGAGTCATCTGTCTCATGAGCAGACATTCACTGTTATCTCCAGGAATCCTGGGGGCCATCAGGTCCAGCCCTACCCACATGGGTCGGGGGGGGGCCGATCAGACAGCCAGGTTCTGGGGAGCTTGCTCAGTCCTGCCTCAAGTGGAGATCAAATCTGCCACCTGCCCTATCCCACTGGCCACACCATGAGCAGACATTCACTGTTATCTCCAGGAATCCTGGGGGCCACCAGGTCCACCCCTACCCACATGGGTCGGGGGGGGCCGATCAGACAGCCAGGTTCTGGGGAGCTTGCTCAGTCCTGCCTCAAGTGGAGATCAAATCTGCCACCTGCCCTATCCCACTGGCCACACGGCTGCCCTGCTGCACTGCTCTGAGCACCACAGAAGAATCTTCCAGAGTCTGGTGTTCTACATGCTGGACCAACATGAGCCGTGCCGTCAGGTTGGCCTAGGTCTGTCTTGAGCCACATCTTGAGCATCTAATGCAGCTGAGGAGCCACTGCCTTGTCCTCAGTGAGGTCAAGTGGCTGCATGTCAGGTTTGCTTTCTAACTCCGTGGGTCTTGCCCGTGGATTGTAGCATCATTCCTCTGAGCTGTTGAACATCACGTCAGGACGGTACTTAGGCCCACCACATCTCCTCACCAACAATGGTATCATGTGATCATGATGAAGTCCAAGTCACTGTCCCTATAGCATGTTCCAAGGACCCCCCCATCTCGTTCCCTCAACCTTTAATCCATCATGTAGTCCCTGTGCCCCTGGGGACGTGGTGCCCCAGCCTGGCTGCTACTTTTGGACCTGGGGCCTCTCTTTTGCCAGCCCCCTACCCACACACAGAGCCCTTTACTTCCTGGCCTTGCCCCTCCCTGGCCTTGGCATGGTTTCTGGTCTCAGGCTGTTCAGATCTGCTCCTATAAATGGAAAGGAAGGAACCTGTCCCCTGGGTGACCATGAGAGCAACGGCCGTGCTGAGTGCCCAGTGCTGAGCCTGGTGCCTGGCCCATGGTCCTTCATTCCCAACCATGTGGCATCAGCTCTATTAGCCTGTGAGGGTTAGCCTCTGAGTAAGGCTGGTGCCTGGCTGGTGCCCTGTCCATGTATCCTTATCCCATGCCCAGAATGGTCTCCTCCTGGACCAGACCTGAGGAAACTTCTGCCCCCTGGGCCACAACACCTGCTCAGCAGGAACCAGTGCCAGCTGTAGGACCCTACAACAGACTCCAGTGTTCTACCTTCAAGACAGGTCCTGCAAGACACATTCAGACAGCCAGAGAGAGACAGCGAAGGCAGAGGAGCTATTCTGTTAAAAAGTACCGGAAAGTTCCACGCCACATTCAACTTCATACTTACACAGGGTGCTTCATGCTGGACATGGCCATTTCTGGGAGGGAAGGAAGGAGCCAAGTGGTCAGCAACAGGTAGCCTGACATGGGCTGTGATGTCCAGTCACATGCAAGCATCTGATGGCAGTTACCAAACACACCCTGGGACTCAGCCTGGACCCGTCACCCAGCTCAGGGTCTACAAGTTTAGAATGGTTACCCCACGTCTCAAAGCACCTGTCTCTTTCCCTAAATGCCCAGCCAACATCCTGCTTACCAGTGCCCTGAGGGTTGGGCTATGAGGCAAAGAGCAGGGGCCCCCTTCCCTTAAGGATGCCAGCAAGACTTCCTCCAAGACCCAAGGCTCCTACAAGGTCTGCCATATAAACAAATACCTCCTGCACCCTGGGGTGCAAGCAACTTCCAGGTTCTGTGCACACACTGAATTCCGGATGACAAAAGGAAATGTGCCCTCTGTGTCATCCATTAAAGCCATTTCCGTCACTACAGGCCATGGCAGAATCCTGGCTGCTCATGTCTGAATCAGAAGTCCAAAGACGCTTCTCACCCAGTGAGCCAGCAGTGGAAGCAGAGGGTTCTGTGCGCACCAGAGCAGCCGACACGGACACTCCAGCAGAGGCCAGGGTCTGGAGAACTGGGGGCAGCATGCAACACCATTGACAACCCAAACCTGGGCCTTTTCACCTTCCAGAGACCCACACACGACATCACACAGACTTGGGGAGAGTTCACAGACGGACACAAGAAGCTAGTGTGAAGCTGGCACCTGACCAGGCCACTGATAGGATGGGGCCAACTGGAGCCCTGGACTGAAAGACAAATGCTCAGTCCCGGTGAGCAGAGCCTCCAGGGACCTACAGTGTTAAGGCCTGTTGAGGTCCATCTAGGTGGAGAGAAAGAGCTACCAAGGGGCCTCAACTTCCAGATGTTCCTGCCCTGAGCCCTGCTTCTACATTTCACATGGTCTCCCTGTCCTCCCCACCCATGGCAGCCGGGTTCACCCTGTGTCCCAACAGCACGGTGCTGCCCCAGGACAGTCCGTCACACATGGACATGGGCCCATAGGGACCTAGCACCCTGCCAGCACCCTGGAGAGGACACTGAAGAGGCCTGGGCACAGCGACTCAGAAACATAAGCACTGTCCTTCAATACTCTGCTGGCCAAGACTTCCTCAGTTCAAAGCCATTCTGTGAATGGAGCCTTGGAGCCTCCCCACCAACTGCCTGCCTCTCCCCAGGGGGCAGCAGGGCTTTTCTTCACGCTCCACTACACGCTGGGCACCCAGAGTGGCCAGGCACATGGGGCCAAAGTGAATGAGGACTGGGTGAGTCTTGGGTCAGAATGGCCTCACGATTGTGGGCAGGTGTTGGCATATTCATTATGTAACGAGGCCTTAACACCCAGGACCATGGGGCTGACGCTGTAAGGAGGTTTCTGAAACATGCATGGCGGCATCCTGAAGTGGGAGTGGGTCAGCCCCAGTGACCCAAGCAGTGAGAGCAGTGCTGCGTCCACAGGCTCCAGCAGCTCTGGCCCTCTGCCCCTACCCAACAGTGCTCAGCACCCTCCCAGGGCCACCGGAGCAGTTGCCGTGCACACTAACATGGGATCCCAGAACCTGGCGGGGCAGAGAAGATGAGGGGACGGCCCAGCTCTCAGGCAGGGGTGCACCTCTGGGGTTGGAGTACTGAGATAGTGTGGGAATCACACCTCAGTTTCTTCATCTGCAAATGGGCATAAACATGGCAGCCTCAGAGAAGGTGAGGCTGTGTCAGCCCCTGGGCACACCTAGCCTCAGAGAAGACAGCATGGGAGGTGACACGGGGACACCTTCCTTCACTGAGGAGGCACCTGCAGAAGAGCTGTCAGTAAGATGGGACCTGCCCAGGCCATCCTTTCTGCAGCAGACACACCAGCACAGACACAGATGTCTTTGTCATTCAAATGAGGCAGATGTGCTGGGGTATTGGGAAGGGACTTTTCATCTTTTTGGCTGGTGGACATGGAATGATAAAGCCTTAAAAAACTCAGTCCTGGCTGAGTGTGGTGGTGCATACCTTTAGTGCCGGCACTCAGGAGGCAGAGGCAGGCAGATCGCTGTGAGTTCAAGGCCAACCTGCGCTACATAGTTCAGGTCAGCTGGGACTACAGGGAGATCCTGTCTCAAAGAGACAAAAAACAAAAACAAAAAAACCTCAGTCCTTTGTTCCCGGGTCCCAGGGGTTGGCATTTGTACCACACACAACACTGAGATGTGCTGGTACTCCGCAGCAGGCCCTCTGAACCAGCTTTCAGCTCACCAAACCTCACATAGGATTCTGACCAAGATGTGGGGTGTGGCCATGCTTATGGGGACCCCACACCCTACAATATTCTCTAGACCCAATTTCCCACACATACTCGGCGGGAGGCTGGGATAGTTTGCCAGCAAGGTTTGTCACTTCTGCTCCTTTTGCTGACCCCCAAACCTCATGCCCGATATGCACAGCTGGAGAGGATAGAGCAGGGAAGCCAGAGAGGGTTGAGGACGTGCTCTTCCAGGGTTTCTGCCCACTAGGTGTGGAGAAGGATCAAGCAGGACAGCAGAAGGAACAATGTGCCACTTAGTTTTGTCAACTTAACCCAAGCTAGTTACCTGGGAAGAAGGAACTTCAATGAAGGGGCTTTCCAGATCAGACTGGCCTGTTGTGAGAGACTGTCTCACCTGATGATTGAGGTGGAGGGCCCAGCCCACTTTGGGCGGCACAGTCCCTGGGCAGGTGGTCCCGGGGTGTATAAGAAAGCTAAACAGTGCTGGGCGTGGTGGCACAGGCCTTTAGTCCCAGCACTTGGGAGGCAGAGGCAGGCGGTTCTTTGTGAGTTCAAGGCCAGCCTGGTCTACATAGTGAGTTCAGGTCAGCTGGGACTACAGGGAGACCCTGTCTCAAAAGAAAAAAAAAAAAAAAGCTAAACAAGCCAAGCCAGTAACCCCACTGTCTTGGCCTCCAAGCAGTGGATCAAGTCATTACCACCATGTGTGACCTGAGAAGAACATTTTAAAGTCCTCTCTCCTCCCTTCCTCCATCCCGCCTTCTTTTCTTTTTTTTGCGATGGTCTCGCTACCAAGGCTGCCTAGCTTCAAGCTTATGGCAATCCTGTTTAGCCCCTCAAGTGCTAGTCAACTGCACATCTACTATGGAAAACAACACTTCTGTGTTTGAAGAAGGGATATATTCTCTCTCTGCTTCCCCTTCTCCCAAGGTCTTGCTATGTAGCCCAGCCTGGCCTTGAACACATGGTGATCTGCCTGCCTCTACTCCCAAATGCTAGGACGAGAAGGGATTCTCTGATAGCAAACCTGGAGGCTCACATTAAATTCTCAGAGAATACAAGTGTACCCTAAGGGTGACGGACAGGTTCCCACAGCCCCAGAGCCCCACACGCAGTTCTGTTCTGTCAGAAGCAGTCAGTGTCT